TGGTCTATATTCAGGGGGTAATGGAGGTCTTTTGCTCCGGTATACTCCAAAACAGATGACGAGAGGCTGAAATTGATCTCTGCGGCCCATTAAATGGTGGGGTGTACACCTATGCGGTCGATATGCCAAAAATATGATAGTGGGGAAATTGCTTGCAAGACATTACGCGCAAAATGGGAGATATTTATCGGAGGATCGAACACGCAGACTTGGAAAATGAAAAGAGAGCTTCCTATATTCTTGGAAGCTTTTAAATTGTCTTGAATTTATCTCGCTCCAATATCACTTTCAAGGTTCCAGACAAAGGGAGTGTTTTAATAAATAATAAATGCTTAGAAAGAATGCAAGTAAAATAGAAATCTTGCTCTTGTATCTGGGTCAACACTGTAAGGAAACATTTACAAATAATATTTGCGTTATTCACTTACGGCTCCGAGCGTTGATTTTAAGAAAATTGCAAAATGTTGATGGACGTATGAAGGTTAATTGCACTAATGTTGCCAATCTGCAGCCTACTTATATATAAAGTTCTTCACTGTGTGCCGAAACCATAGATGCTGCTCTGATCAATGCCTGTGGGCGAGACTATCTCTTTTAATACGAGCCGTTAAAATTGCACCTCTCTTGGCGTGATACGACCCATAATGCATCCCCGACACGTCTTACTCTTTCGTGCAAGTAATAAGACCAGGTTGTTGTTTTCGCTGCTCTCTGATGATGGAGTAATGACATTAAATAATTCATGTGCACATCACCATCTTGTGGGGTTTGCAAAATTGATCCCCCTTTTCTCTCCACACCTTGGCTCATCGATTTACTACTTGTAGGAATCTCTATTCTCTTCCTCGGCCTGTCTTGGTCTCTGGTCTCTCATCTCTCAGAGAGTTACTTATAAAATATGAACCTGTGCGCAAATTGAGGTCACTGCAGGAAGACCTATATAATTATTTCATACCTATGGTTAAAACAAAGTGTTATGGTAAACAGGGTTGTATGCATATTGCTGCCCCTGTACTATGTAATAGTATGATTATTGTAGGCCTCAGACAAGCTGATACATTTCAAGAATTCAAAACTGTTCTCAAAACATATTAATTTAGGAATATTATTAATTTATTTATTCTGAAAATATATCACAGTTGCACTAAGAAGTAGATTACATTTTCCTGCAGCTTTCGTATTTATTAATTATATTTTCTTTCTTTCTTACATTTTCCTAAGCATATTGGGGCCATTATCAAAGGATGTGGCTTGTAAGAGCTGTTGTATTTATCATTTTTTGTGTTAGTAATAGTCTCTCTAGTTTATCAAACATCACAAGATAATAAGCCTACACACTTCAAATGGTTATATGTTAATAATCAACTAAAGAAATAACTTGAACTGCTGTTTATTTGTTTATTATCTTGTGGTAATACTGTGTGTTGAAGCAAGCTATTAAAGGGAATACAATGAAATGTACTGAGAAAAACAACTACCGGTACAGTTGAATTAAATAGAGGTTTCAAAGCTAATCAATGTGTTCAAAGATTAAAGAATATTCATAGCCAGAGTTTGATATATAACTGTTCTTTAAGTCTTACATGTACATCTACAGGTAATTTTCTTCACCTTGTCTTCCTTATTTTTAATTTTAAACAGTGGATCCATAATAGTACAAATTTTCAAGTGATCATCTCAGAATGAAATATATGACATTTCAAAATTCAAATTACATTTCTTTCCTAGTTATATCTCCATTTAACCCACTTTCATTTGGCCGGTTCTATACGTTTAAAAAATGGGTCAAGAATGAAACAGCAGCGGCAGTATTATCCTCAGCACACACAATACTAAATTAAGCAGATGGTAATAGCATACACGATGGAGACACCCTGAGACTAAAGAAAAATAATTCACCTAGCAGTGAACCCCTCTGTAATGTCACATACGCTTAAGCTCCGATCGGCGGTGGCGGCAAGCAGATTCGCAGCGCGGTGCCAGAAGTGCATGCTTTTATCTCCCTCCTGCATTCATTTTGCATTATTTTTAGGCATAACATAAACGCAGGAAACGCAGCCAGTCTCATCCTCCTTCTCCGACACCTCATCGGAATATTCGCAAGAGTCATTTTCCCCCGCTACTCCGAGATACTTCATATTTTGAAGAGCATTATCATGAGAGAACCCCCCTTCGTCTCTTTCTTCTCAGTCGGGGAAGCAATCCCGGAGATTCATAACGGTCATAAATATGGCATCTCGTATTTCTCTTCCACCGGCAGCTCAGGGGTCGCACAGTTTGGGGATTGTGCTCCAAAATAGAGAGAGAAAAATGAGTGGATGGAGTTCACCACTGATCTGCAATTTTCCTATCATCTCAAAAAAGGCATATTTTATAAGTCTAATCATTCCAATCCTCCATATAGGCAAGTAGTATGCACATAGTCATTGATGTGTTTTGTTTAAACATGTCTTTCAGGGGTGTACAAAATGTTGACAAACTAAACCAGGTTCATTAATCCTTTCCTCATTATCATATTAAATGAAAATCCTTTTCTCATTAGCATATTAAATGAAAATCCTATTTTCTGTAGACAATTAAGTTAGGGGTCACGGTGCCAAATGCTGACACCCATGGTGTAGATCGATGTTTGAAGTCCTCATAAATTACATAGTGCAAAGTCAATTAACAAATCAATTAACTACTGGTCCTGTCCCCACAAGATTCCATCGTTAAAATCTATAACCCGTGTGGTATGAAAAAAATACCATGGACCTTTTTAACACTTGAACAGAGTGACATTGATATTATGTCAATTAATCTGATTTGCAACTGATTTGCATGATAAATCAAATTCTTAAGAAATCAAATGTTGATGATCGGAGATAAAAGAGGTTACTTTTCTCATGCCAATGGGTGATTTCTGGTTAGATAACGACGAGTGAAGCTTAAATGATTCAAAATCGGACAAACAACATTTTGATGATGAATGATGTATAGTTGTGCATTCTATATGTCTGGTCAATTGTGGGCATTTCACAAACACAATACAAAATAGACGAGATAGACATTTAAGCAACCCATCTTTTCTTTTCGATACATTGAGCCGCAAAAAAGCCATAGTGGAATGAATTTAGGGTTCCTTTGAATAACTGAATGAAAAACTGCACTGAAATGTGTTCCACTGCTCTCTCACAAAACGAACGACGGAGGATCGCAAATGAATAAATGAAATGAAAATGGTGGAACACGACTGTGGTTTAGTTGCGTTCATTCTTTATTGGTTAAGCCTTTAAAAGCTTTGGCCTTTAGCCCTTTCTACCAGGGCTAACAATACAGATGAGATAGGGAAAGAATCAACCTTTTCAGTTTGATACGGCAGCACATACAATGTAGCTCCTTTTTTAGTTCAAAAGGTGATTGACTTGCTTTTTAAAAAGGGGTTGGGGCAACAAGGGCTATAAGGACTAGCCCATTTACCTGGGGCACAGTAAACTGTCAGAGACCATTATTACAAATTAATTTGCAAAGCATGAGTTACTAAATTGCACGATCTGTGTCAAGTTATGCAAGATGAATAATACAAGATTATAATTAGCGATCACGTAATTTTGACCTGCCTACAAAAAGGATTTGACAAAACTATTTGGTTTTATTAAGTGTAAAAACATTAAAACAGATAGGTGAGTAATTGAAGTATGAAGTAATTTGGGGGTGAGCTTTTGCAATTTTATATTCTTTTGGTATAAGGGCATTTGTGAGTAAGATTGTAATTGTACGTAAAATGTCATTTTTATTTCCTCAAGTCAAACCTCAAACAATTACAAAAACTGTAATGGGGTCAAACACTAAAGGTCATCGAAAAAATTATATATATTTCATAAATTTGGATCAAGCTGGTGAAAAAAGAACAACTAAAATAACATTTAGAAAGAATAAAAGGTAATATTATTTCAATAAGATTTTGCCTATCAGTATTACTATCACAACACCATCTGTTACTTTTTTAGACTAATACATGTACCAATTTAATAAAACTGGCTTCAATAGAAAAAGACGTAAATGAGGTCCTAACTAAATATATGTTCCATTCGATTCAAGAACTTTTTTGAGTTACAAATTCTAGACAATAATTTTACTAGACCCGAGATTTGTTTGTTTGAAAAGTCATTTCTTCTTGTTGAAATCAAGAAATCATAACTGGAATTTAAAGAAAACATATTTATCTGTCATATTTCGTATCTTGACCGCAAAGAAAATGAGTTTTGACAGCCGCAGGGCAAAAGATCTAGAATATAACGGAACCCCCGCTAAACAGCTACACTCTGGCCGCCTCCTCGCCCGGCGCAACACGGACCAGCTCGGTGGGCAGTCCATGACTGTCCCCGCCGGTCTACCAGATAACACCACAGCAAACAGCGTCTTCTTTCTGTACCGTTTCAACAAGACCAAAAACTCCCCTCGGCAATCATATCATTTGATTGAATCATATTAACGAAGAAGGGCTTTTCATAATAAAAAGGAAGTGTGTGAATTATGTTCAGTAAACACGCATCGACTAGGGGAAAAGAAAATAAATATTAATCATTATTTTTATTTAAAAAAGTTTGGTCATGATAATGTCGGGCGTTCAACGATCCCAAATTTATCAGTGTACCGTATTGGTTTTGGTCGGCTGCCTCAGTGCCAAACGATGCCGGTGCATAGGGGAGACGCTTGGTGGAAGAAAAAGTCGATAAACGGTGTTCGGAATGTAGACCTATTCCAAAGCGTGTTCCTAATCATGAAAGTTTTCTTTGCCAAATTAACCATGATAAACCAATTATAAAGAAAGTCTAGACGAGATAGCATTCATCCAGATTTAGATGCAACGCGATAAGAAAGGCGAAAGTCGGAGAAGTTTAAAAAAGGGTAGCGAGAGTCAAAAACTTCGAAAGTTTGGGATGGTCAAGATAATTTGGACTGGCCGATTTCACCCCAAACTTTCACAAAACCCTACGAATATAAACAAGAAAACTCACCTTCTTTTGCATATGAAGTCCATGCACACAAAACAATAAATATAATACAATTCCGTAAATTATCCATATTGGAAAGAGTAAATCCGAGATGTTTTCAAGAAATAAAATAAGTCATTCTCTCCTCTCCGTAACGAAGCACACGCGCCGACCGCTTTACCAATAATAATTCACCTGTAAAAGTGTGATGGGGGCTCGCTGTGATGTTCTCGCATCCATGTGCATACGCATACACGACTCTACCAAAGTGATTGGACGAGTTCATTAGTGTGCGGGGGTGCGTGCACGGCTTCAGGAGAAGCTCGTAATCTCATTCGCAAATACAACGGTTTTCTAACGGTCCTCTAGAAGTGAGCCCTCAACGTTAATGCAAATGTCCCTTTTCGAAAAGTGTCGGACTTCAAAAATCATCTTTTTGCTTTTGTAATGCTCTTATAGAATATTTATAAAAGCGAAAGCATGAAGTTAACAGAATGTCAAAACAATTGCTCGTTATGATTGTAATTATTATTATTATAATTAGACTGTTAATAATTAAATATAACAGTGTAATTATTACACTGTTATATTTAATGAATTTTAAAGGAATTAAAAGGTTTTAACAAATATTGCTAAATATTATGTCCGTTAGCATATAATAATAAGAGTATCTCACTGGAATCTATGCAGTTGTGTAATCTATATGTAGATGTGTTTACGTAAAATATTTATAACTTCTATATTTAGTTATAGCTACTTTCATTGATTGTTATATCAAATGCCGGCAAAGACTTCTAAAATAAATCAGACTTAAACAATATAATAGAGCCTTGTGCATCACTAAGTGCAATTTACGTATACATGACATAGACATATTTCATCATCCGAACATGGTTTCTGTGGACAATACAGTCGGATATTGAAATTGGCCTTAATTTGGTTGATTTCCTGAAGGTTTTTCAGAACGTGTTTAAATTATCTTTACCGATTTTTTAAATAACATCATTAAGAGAAAAAAGAGAGAGGAGGGGGTGCGAAAGAGTAGACGAAGAAGAGGAAGAAGAGGAAGAATAAGAAGAAGAAGAAGAAGAAGAAGAAGAAGAAGAAGAAGAAGAAGAAGAAGAAGAAGAAGAAGAAGACGGGGAAAAAAAGAAGAAGAAGAAGAAGAAGAAGAAGAAGAGGAAAGAAAAAAGAAGAAGAAAATAAAAAAGAAGAAGAAAAAAAGAAAAAAAGAAGAAGCAGTAGAAGAAGAAGAGGAAGGAGAAGAAGCATGGTTTTCCCCTCCTCTACTGTCCCGCATTTAAAAGTCGCCATCGTTTTAAGATTCAACATTCAACATTCAAGATAACTTATTGTCATGTAAAAAGTACATCAAATTTGTCTTCGGACGTTTAAAGGTGCTATACATGTACATAAATATATAAATGCAGACAAAATTATTACATTTCAACAAAAAATTTAACAATCATCACAATTTTAACGCATGGAAGCTGCATGCAACCCAGATCCCCATAACTCAATGTACGTTTTATTTCAAAAGAAATGTGTACAATACAAATATATACAATGGGCACGATTGAAAAAAGAAATCGAGAATGTCAATAACGTATTTCGTTTCCTATGACAATCATATTCAGATTACATGTATAAAGTACTATTGTAATATTCGCACATTCTAATATGTGATGGTCAAGACTATTTAAAATTGCCTTATGTTGCTCTATAAGTCATCATGTTGTCATCGCTATATACAATCTTAGATTGGCAACAGCACGATAATTTCCATTTCCTGTTCCTACCTTCATCATTTCAGTACATACAGTAATGTAAACTTTATAAAAAGTTCAGTCAACTGTTTTCATTTTGCAGGTAGACAAAACCAGAAGAGGGTGGTTTTTTCTTTCTCAGAAGGGAGTCTCGTGGAATCTCGCAAGACATGTGAGAGAAAACCAATCAAAAGTATGATTATTATTCTCAGAAAAAAATTATATCCATTTTGCGATTCACCAATTTTTACCCGTATAAGTTGAAGTCTTCATTTGAAATGAAAAGTTTGCGGTTTAATCCGTTAATTGCTTTTTTTTCTCTCCAGGAACTGTTCGTATAAAAGTGCAAGGATAACAATGACAAATCAATATAACTCTGTGATGGTACTGTGATATGAACACGATAGCAAAGCCTTTCGAGAAATCGACTTAGAGGCAATTCTAAGTAGCCAATAATTAAATTGCCTTCAGATATTGCGTTCAGATTAACTAATACGTAATTGTAATGTAATGCATATTTGAAAAGGTGATATACAAGGCTATTCGGTGGTAAGCGCTTTATAAATATTTTTTTTTTTTTTTTTTTTTTTAAATATTGTAATGGACTTTGCCATATGACTTGTATAATTATTATTGCGATAACATATTGAACATATTTCGTATGAGGATTTTTTTCCCCCCAATGAAATGTACTTGAGGGGTCATAAGTTGTTGCGTTAAAATGGATTAATCAAAAGTCACCTCTCCACTGCAATGCACAGCAAGGTCAATAGAGGACGCTATTTCAAAACGACAGTTCCCGATTCGTAGAAGGTTTGTGGTGTACACATACCAGCATTATTCAATTTTGGTCAAAGTCGTTGCCGATAAAACTGTACAGACTTGTCTCTGCATTAAAAAGGCGTTGATGGGGCCGGGTCGGATGGGGGGGGGGGGGGGGGGGCGTTTATTTTTTTCTTCAAATATGAGTGCCCTAGCTATTTCCCCCCTTTGTTTGTTTGTTCAAGTTTTTGACAAACTTGGAGAAAAAAACGGGGAAAAAACCGGGAGAAAAAACTCAGGAGGCCAACACCAAAAGGTTCCTTTGCGACACTCGTGTTACAACACGCTATTTTCAAGTTTATTTTCCTCAAACCTCTCACAGAGTTACCTAAATGCACTTAAATATCTAACATTGCTTCAAGCATTATAACAAGTTGTATATAAATAACAAGTTGCATGTACTTTTGAATGGTACTCTCATCCTAAAAGTTTATCTCATGCATCCATAATTTTGATGACATCGTATTATTCTTTGGCGCGCGTGCATCACAGCACGAATCGCATACCACATAAAATGAAATCATCCAACAAATCTCAAAGAAATTAATAAGGAAGATGAAACTCCCACCTAGGTCGAGAAAATGTCCACACGTGGTGAGAAAATTGACAATTTCCACCGTGATTGTGGGTCTTGGTCCATATTTGGGCATTCCCGCCGTTTGTCTTGGCTGGGGGAGCTGCGGGGAGCGAGCTCGGCGCGTGATAGGGACCGAATTGGTGTCATCAGGAAGCTTCCTCTTATAATTTGTGACTTTCTTTCCGTACTTTCTTCTCTCTTTCTTGGTGAGTTCGAGTTATTTTGTCCCATGCAATACCAGAACCATCTAAGTAGTAGTATATACCCGTAGCAATGTTATAAAAGTGATAACCCTATCAGAGCTTAAATTAGACCAAATAGCACTTGCGATGTTAAATTATTTTTGTTCCATTGTGTAATAGTTTTAAGCCCCTCTATAAAGTGTTGGGAATCCCAAATTCGCAAAAAAAAATTAAAGGCAAAATTTTACTTAAATTGTATCAAAACGAGAATGCTATTTAAGACGCACTTCTGCAAAGATCCCCCCCCCCCAAAAAAAGGGGAATTTGAAGACAAAATTGATAAAAGAAACATAATTTGGGTTTTCTATTGTACGCAGAAACCCTGAATTTGGAATTCTTTCATCAATATTAGACTTCAAAGACATTTGTTTTGAAAATCCTTACAGAAATGAATCTTAAATGACATCCTTTTTCACATTATGATACAATTTAAGTGAAATTTTGCCATCACATCTTGGGGGCTCCCAACACTTTTAATAGAGGGCTTTTTGAAAGTTATTCTTGGTGACGTATATGGAACAGCAATTAAATGTCCGAATTCCTTGTCTTCTCTTACTTTGTAAAGGTATGTAGTTTGTGGAAGCTATTTAAATAAAACCAAAATTGATAGTATAAGAGCAAATAAATAGTCAGCCAACATAATTATTTCAGTTTGGAATCCAACAAAGTGGCTCCAAACTGCATTTCAAGTAAGATAATCATATTAGAAATGTACCTAGAAGTGTGGTTATTATAGTTTCGCCGCTTTTGCGTTCTTACTGTTTGTCTGAACAGTTCTAATGGTGGTAGGAGGGGGGGGGGGTTCTTGTCTGAGTAACGATTTTCTTTTGTTGGATCAATAATCAAGAGAATATAAAACATTCTGTCATATATTTTTCCCGAAAATGTGATATAAAGACAAATAAAAGAATAAAGTTATCGCATTTCCCTAATGAGATCCTTGCCGTTTAATTTAATGATTTTAAATAATTTACTATTTTTCTCCCTCTCTCGGAATTAGGATTTTCAAATACGAACCATAATTATAGACAAAGGGTGATTGAAATAATAGAAGAAAGAATGTTACCTCTTTTACAAATCAAAGCCATTACCCCCCCCCCCCCTCCCTCCATTTTGACTTTGATATCTCCAAATTGTCATCTTCCATCTTCCACCGAACCTTGAGTAACCCCCAGCGGACCTCCCATCTCACCCACCATCCCTTACCCCCCAAACAAAATAAGAAACACCGATCTAATAAACGCAATATCATAAAGCGCATATCGGGTCTCAGCTCGATCTGTCATTCACCAGAAAATCGATACCATAATTCCCCGCATGTATGCACAATCATGAATATTTATGAATTCACGCGGCTGGATTGTTTTCTGTTTCAGTTGAAGTGGGGGGGGGGGGGGGTTTCATGGTATCATCACAAAAGCGATAATGTTTCTATATTGTTTCCTTTATCACTGGGGAAGTTGTCTCGTGTTCTCTCCATGACATTCACTCATTAATTTAAAAGATACAATTTTCTTGGGGTTGGGGTGTGTTCACACGAAAGAAGGCAACGGCGCAAATATTTAGAACACGATCACAAATACCTGCAAGAAATCAACTTAGGGCAATTTTAGTAGGCCTACCTACTTTGTACTGCATATTGTAATCATGTGCGGATTGCGCAATACGCCATTTTCATGTCCCTACGTTTCAATAGATGACAAACAACGCTATAATTTATAAATAATTGTCTTTAAAAAAAATTAAATTATTAAATTATTTTTTATTGTTTAGATGAATGTTTGCGAACCAAATTTTGTTTTCATTCTAGGGTTCCTGCGATTGAGTTGGGTGGGGGGGGGGGGGGGGGGGGGGGGGGGATGACTAGATCAATTA